CTCACCAAAGGTTTTGTATAAGCTTTAAGAACTCACTATGTATATACATAAAACATGGTATACACTGTGTGACGGTCAGGGTGACTTTGTACAAAGAGATAGCAATCAAAGTAGTGGAAGTAAGAGTGCTTTCTGTTATCTGCATTCAACATCCACCTCTTAATGTCCTTCCACACTGTTTCACATTATTAATTGATGTTCATTGGCCGTAGAAGTGTCTTATGGGATGAAGTTGTAAGGTCACAGGTCAAAGTAGGAAGTGGGTATAACTCTAGAATGGCTCTTCATATCAGCCTTATGGTGACTGTTGTTGTATGAACTTCATCTGAGTTTATGTATTACTGCAATAGTGGCAGCCATTTTTTTTCCATTGCATTCCTCCATTGAGTGCTAGCACACTCTCTGAGATATACAAGACATTTGTGTGCCCTCCCTCACAGTGAGTATGTTGTGTAATAGGAAATTTAATGTGTATGTGTGTGTTTTTTTACAGCAAAACTACATCGAGTTATCTGCTGAGTTTACCGAGGAGAGTCGAATCCCTAATTTTAGCATTGTAAATTCAAAGACTTATCACTGTCCCACTGGGGGACAGAAAATTTAATAAAGTTTTTTGTTTGGTGCAAGAATATGGTGCTATATATGAATGTAGTTAATATTAACTTATGTTAAATATAATAAATGCTCAATAACAGCAATAATGCCCCTTGTTCCAAACTATCATCCCACAAAGTTTGGTTGAGACTGGCCCAGCAACCTAGGACTAGTTAGATAAGGGACAGATACAGATTTTTGTGCTTAATATATATATATATATATATATATATATAGACAAGAAGATTCCCTGATATAACAGCAACAAGTGTAGAATACGGGTAAATAATGTCACATACACATATTTCAGATGCAATAAATTATACCAAAAATGTACTGTGTCATTTTTAGTTGGCCCTAGTTCTCAGTTTTTATTATTGAAAGAGGAAGGTTATCGTGAATTCATTGTTTATCAGTAAGGATACACTGAAAGATGTAGATTGTTACAGTAGCTCAAGTATCAATGTGTCAAAGTACCCTAGTTTTTCTTTTAAAGAATATATTAAAGTTTTGATGGACTTCATTTTAAGAGAAGATTTACTAACACATTAGATATCAGTGTATCTTTGGCATGTGCTTAGTTAAACATACACAGCATGATGTCACGACTACTGAATGAATAGATAAAATCTACTGAAATGATGATACATAAGAGATGCAACGATGCACAAAGTAGGACAGACAAATTTTACCAGCTCTTTAGGCTACAGTGGAAGGTTGCTGATGTGTGGTAACAATAAGAGGATAAGTACCTAGGTCTTAATGCTTTTTCTTCTACCACTGATGGTGTTCTGTGTGAAAGCTCTGATCAGGGTCAACCTTACTTATTTGTGGGCCCTATGCAATAGGAAAATGGAGGGCTCCTTTCAGTCTTGTGATGAGTAGTGAAATGTTGGCTAAATGTATTAGTAGCCTGCAGTATTACAGCGCTTTACTCGGTCCTTTCCAATCAACAGTAATGCAGGCTAAAAATGAGAAACTATTTACAAAACGAAAGGTTTTTTGCTCTGAGGCTGTTGTGATAACTTGGATCAACAGCTTGCAAATTGAAATTGCCATATTTAGAGGCTCAGTTGTTTTTTCAGCTGTACTGGGCCCTTTTCGACCAACAAGTCTTTTACTTTTTAAGTAATTACATGTGGCTGTGATCCAGGATATTCAAAATCAGTGATGTAGGAGTGCTCAGATTCAACTTTCCTTGGCCTATCAACATGGGCATCTTAGCTGCCTCTTCATATACCAAACGAATGCCACAAAGTAGAGGTGTTTCTATATTCTCATTAGGGCAACATATATTAAGTTCAGCACTTTTAGAAAAAGCACAAGTAGTTCGAAGCTTAGACTGATATGTAGAGTTTGGGGTTACTTGGTCCTCCTGACTTTGTACTGGTACATTTGGCTGAGGTGGTTCATTTTGATTTTCCTGATCTAACTTTGCAAAGTTGCATTTTCCTTGGCTTTTCTGCATTTCCTGTTTGTCTTCTTTCATGTTTAATTTTTCTCTTTGAGCTCCAGGGGCATATTTACACCCTTTACCCCTGTCTGCACTAGTATTGGTGATTCCTAGTCAGTCTGCAATTAAAGTAAAATCAATAAAGCTTAGACCTCAGTAATCACTCACATTGTTACCTTCCTAAAAATATATTGTAGTAACATAGGTAATGGCTTTTGCATTTAATCACTTTAAAAACAAAAATCACTTTATTTACTGCTAATTTTGAAAAAACATGACATGACATTGTGCAGGGCTTAAAATTACATTTTAAAATCTGGTTTATATCATATAAACTATCAAATCTATTAGTTTATTCACAATTGAGTAACCAGCAGTTAGGAACAATGAGACAAATGAACTAAATTATTTTGTAAATTATGTATTGCTTACTTACCTATTTATACAGAAATATCCAGGGAGCAATTTGACAGGGGGGAAATTTGAAGTTTTCAACATTGTCTCACTGATCTTTATATGCTTTTCAGAGTTCATCAGTAGTCATGATAACTTCTGATAACCTATCTAAGCAAACCAAATTCACAAAAGTCCATGAAGATGTTTTGGAAATGACATAGAATGAATTTCAATATATACTTGAATCTTGTAGAGGAACTTGGTTGTTAACTTAGGCATGTAACTACATGCCTTGTCTTAATGGAGCCATATCTTATTAGTATCTAATCCATACAAAAATAGTATTTGGTCATGATACAGTGGGGTCAGAACAGAAGTCATCTTGGCATTTTTCTCTACTCGTCAGACTTTAAACTTGCAATTACAGCTTCTACTTGATACGTTGTTGGCAAGAGGGCATAATCAGAATTGGTGTTGAGTAGCCTTAGCCTAATCTCCAAGGCATTAGGAACACCCTGGAAAACTTCAAGGCAAAAAAAGCAGCTAGACAGAGATAAGAATGGGGAAGATGAAGAGTAGAAAGGAGAGGGTCATGTGCCAGATGGTTCCAACAACATAGGAACCAAGTAAATAGAGACAAAGCAGAAGACAAAACCCTGGCCAAGATACTGAAAAAAACAACTATAGATCACCAGAAAAACTATCAAGATTAGGGTGTAGGGCGTCAGTCTCCCAAGTAAGTAGAAGGGATTCCAGAGACTGGGTATCAAAGAAAGGAAAAGGGAAACAGCCATAAGCCATGGTGAAGAACTTCTGGAGTTGAAGAAGTTGAGACATTTGAAAGTGGGAATTAAACTGATCCAGGAATGTGTCAACATGGACTCATATGCCTGGAGAAGAAGGAAAAACCCAATACTCCTCACTATGAGGATCATGTAGTAAAGAATGGGAAGAATCAAAAGACATAGGAGAAAGGGAAAGTAAAGAACAAACCTGAGTAATCAAATCCATAAAGAATTTTGGAGGAGGAACACTGTCTTCAAAAAGTTAAGAAGTAAAAAGGCATCAAAGAACCTATGACATGATGCACTATGGTAGTAACATCTTCCATGGTCAATAAGACCCAGTAAGGGTAGCGTTAGCAACATCACCAGAACTTCAGGAGGAGTAGTAGTAGTCACCGTCAGTCAAGAATTCATGGTTGTTGTACCAATTCTCCAGATTAACCAAGCTAACATTGTGAAAAAGCAGCACATATCTCATGAAATTGATTATGCTTAAACTTAAAGAAACATGTTTATTAAAGACAGTGCCAAGGATAAGAATGAAGTTAATTTCAAGTACAAGTGCTTATAGGGATCTATTGTGCATGGAGGATGCATCACTCTCCTACTATGGAGGGCTATTGTCATATAATGATTACATCATGCACTAGCACAATTCACATCATAATGTGTCTTATGGAACAGATAGTTCAAAGCTAGTGGCATGTGCAAAATCTCAATGGCAGATGTGTAAGGAATAGCTATTTAATGCCACTTGAAGAAACCTAGAAGGAATTCAAAGGTAATTATAATTTGATTTCTATCTGGTCTGTTGTCTGTAAGAGCTACAAGTTTAGATGTTTGTTTTTGCAGAAAATGATAATTATGAACACTAATTTCTCACATATATCAAATGCTAAAATCTATTCTCCAAAGTACCTATAAACTTTATCATATAGATTTTAGACCAGAGATCCTAAGTTCTAGAAGTAATATAATTTACTTACAATATCCTTTACTACTTGATATAATTTATTTCTATAAATAGATTCATACAATACCTGTGCAGCTAGTGCATTAGAGTTTTGACTCTTCTGGGCATGGGCAACATTTAAACTATCCACAACAATATCAAATGGGGCATTGTTGTTTATGAAGTCACAATACTCTTTGAACTCAACAGTTGTGGTACTGAGAAAAATGTCTTTTCCTATGAAGACATGACTGAGGAATGCCTCCTTCAGTGTTTCAAACTCATTGGTTTGGAGTATAATAGGATTTATCTTTCTTCCACAGGATTGACAAACACCATTTCTGAAACAAACTTAAAATTAATGCAATATACTAATAATACATGTCTAAACTACTGATTTAGAATCTCAAATCCATTTCTTGAAGATGTTAAAGGTTATGATATACTGTCTTTATGTTAGAATAATTATTGGAAGGTATTTAGATGTCTATCAAAACAAAGAAAGGAGTATAAAAAATGACATTTTACAAAGTGTTGAAGATATGAATATCCACAAACACTTTTGTACCAAAAGATTCATACATTATCCATTTATACTTTACCTGATATTAGCTGGTTTTAGAAACCTAATAAAAGACAGTTGCACTTTTTACCCAAAAAACCTAATTTTGTCCACAATTACAGAATTTCAGAAAACATTGGCACACTATTTGAGATAGTAAAATATATCATGAAACATATTTTGAAAGCACCCAAGGCTTTTTCAAAGAAAAAAACCGAGAATAGAAGGAATGAAATATTAACTTTTGAGAAACACACTTTTCACTGTTCAAATGGGAAATATTTTTCGAACTTAATGCAGCTAAGAATTTTACACTAAGAGTGGTGGTATAATTTCAGAAAGTTATAAAGGCTAGTTAAAATTACTGAAATATATATATTTTAAATTACTAATAAGTATATTTTATCATTATCAAAGCTTAAAAGTATATAAAGAATAAAATCATTTCATTATCATATAATTTTACAAGTGAAAAATTCTTATAACATTATTACTGCAATTTTTTAAGTAACACTTAACTCTCAACAGCTATTTTGAAAATCTAGCATGGTAAAAGAAGACCAAGCAAAACTTTTACACTTCTATTTTAAAATGTAGCAGACTTGATGAATTTCCCTTAATAATTCAGTGGTTTTAATGTGTCTTAAAACACAATTCAACACATACTCTTCTTCCATGCATAACTCCTATGAGTTCCCATTTATCATTCTGTAACTTTAGATTTAAAATGTATTCATACAGAATATTTACTCCCCAAATGTATGTACTAAACATAAATATGAAGATTTGAAGCCTAACAAAAAAGAAATAAAAACACTGTAAGCTATATCTAAATTAAATCACAGAGTATTATCAACAAAAAGAGGAGTAAACCTAAAACATCACAGAAAGTTAGGATTTTATGGCTGAAAAAGTTTGGAATTCTCTTAGACTTAGCAGTTTATGGGAATCCAAAGGGATAGAAAGAATGGGTCACCAGTTAAAAAGCAGTTTCATTTATGAGAAACTGAGCATCCATCACAGCAATTGATTGAGAAGCCTGTGTACACCACAATATGATACAAGAATGTTAGCAGAAGAAGCAATAGCAGAAACATGAGATGCTAACAGGTGATTAGTGTCCTAAAAACGTACCCTAGAACAGAAGTGTAACTAAAATGCTGAGTAATTTTCTATGATAATTTAAATAGCAAGTGAATGTTAATATTTTTCTTACCTGAAAATGTATTTCCAATAGGTACACTCCTCCACACACAAAAAGAGTTTGATTCCTCATACATCTGCTTATGAGATTTGCATGCAACCAGCCTTGAGCTAACTCTCATCTAAAAATTACATTTAACGTGAACTGTGCTAGTGCATGGTGATATTATCACATAATGATAGCCTTCCACCAATTGGAGGATGACACAACCTCCTTGCATGTAACTCCCTCTTGAACTTGAAAGTAAGAATAAAGTGCACTAGAAGTTGAAAGAACAGATGGGAAGGTGTATAGAGGTGAGTTTCTATCAGAAATACATACTTCCACACACAGAATAGCTAGAATCCCACACTGAAATGGTTCAGACATTAAACCTAGATTAGCTACCTTCAGAAAGCACATGGAGTGTGACATCCAATGGCAAGGGAGCACACCCATGGGAGATAACATTTTGTCTTGATTAGGGTATATTCTTTGCCTGTAAGGAAACAGAGGAGAAAGCAAAATAGTCCTAAGTGTCACAGGAATGGGTAGAAGTTCATCATTACCAACCGAGCCCCCTACATGCAAGTGGTTGGCAAGCCAAGAAGTGTAGTGTGGTTAGAGCAAGATCAGATTGTATGGTGTATGTGTGTTTCACCTCAACTCAACTGGACAGACAGAGATGGGGATGACAAATCATTCCTGCTACAGGAGTGCATACTAGCTATACTTCAACAGTGTCATCACCACACTACATCCCATTCTACTATGCTGTACACAGTCAGTGAGGAACTATCCATGGTCCATCGCCTCAGTAGCTAGGAACTGGTAAATGGCAAGGGTCTCTTGTGTTCCACTTGAAGAAGGGGGTGGACAATTTGCATTGGGAAGACTTTAAGAAGTGTCCAGATCTCCACTAGAGGCCTGCCAGAAAGGTGTCATCTACTGAAGATAATGCAATGGGAGACTGCAAAAAGTCTATTTTTAAAATTCAGCAAGTGTGAGCCAGAGAAATGGGTAGTAGCTTCCCTTGTGCTGGCTTTTGTCCATGATAGTCCATGGAATGGTACAGTGTAATTCAACAGTTAAATAATTTTAATACAACAAGGATACCTCTATTGGTCTTGTGCAACACCCCCTCTCAACAGTGGACACTGGTAGAGCCAGGGCAGCTGAGCTGAGTGATTTCCATTACCCCTGGCCTGATGCAGATTTTGCGAAATAAGCATATTCTGGAAGGCAACCCCAGTGACTTGGTAGGATCCTATAAAAGGGAAAAGGGAGATAACAAAGAAAATTTACATACCCTTATCAAAGATGGTATGTAGTTTTAATGAAGAACAGCTAATGAAGAGAGTTGAATTCCCATAGGAGACAACAAAGTTAATTGCAGATGAATAGGTGTAGATTCAACCACATGCAAGCCTAAAGGATCTTGTCTAAGAGTTGGTGAAATTGAGAAGCAAGAGAGTGAGGCAATTGATGAATCTTAAGTGATGAAATGTGAAAGATCAATCACTCATGAGTAGCTAAAGTGTCAACAAGAAAATTTCAGATTTGGATAGAGGAGGTAGTAAGTATGGTGAATGAGAGTGCAGGAAGCATTGATGGCATAGAAATTCAAATGATGATGACCACAGGCAAGAAGGAGAAGAAAGCACATTTCAGAGAAAGAAGGTATAATGAACATGAAGCCAACAGTCCTAGTCAGGCATGGAAGTAAGATGAAGAGTTTGGTGAAAATGAAAAAAGTGGAGAAGGCAGAAGAAAAACATAACACTAATAGGAGAGATGAAATGTAGTTGATAAAGCCACCTGAAATCCAGCAATAATGGAAACCAACAATCCATGTTCAAAGAACCTTGTGAAAAAGGCTGAAAAGTGGGACACAGTAGGATGACCCAGAGGAAGGAAGAAGCTGATGGATTAATGCTGAAAAATATGCTATTTCTGTTGATAGACAGAAAAAATGAAAGACAACATGAATGGAATAAGTAAAAGGCTATATGACTGGCAGTTCTGCCAGCTATAGACTGAACAAATTTCCCATGTGAAGATGAAGGGACAACACCCTTAGGTGAAAGAGAGACATGGTTGGAACAGGAGAGAGAGTGAGAATGGGAACAGATGAAGAGAGGACCAGAATGCCAATTTACGAAGAAGAGGAAATCGGTATTGTCAGCCAAAAAGGTACCGCCAACAAGACCCAAAAAGAATGTTACGTATCAAAGCAAAAACACAAGAGAGAAGAGGAATTGTAGAATAGGCATATAAAAAAAAACTAATACTAGTCCTAATTTTAGAGCATTGACTGCCAGGGCCAAAGGATGAAGAATTGGGGAACCAAAGAAGGGAAGTGTGGTGCTGAGAATGGCAAAAGCATTAATGAGAGGTGTGCCCAACTGAAAGCACACCCAACAAAATAAGGGTGGACAAACCACTCTGTGGTTAGAACCCTGACTGGCCAAGACAGGTGATTCACCATCAAGTTCAGAGATCCTGGCACATAAGACAAGCCATAAGACAAACCCAATAGGAATAATCCAAGAATAGCAGGTCTAATGTGTGGAAACAAACATTCCTGGAAGAGGTACTTCCCAGACAGTTGATATAAGGAACAAATGTGGAACTGTCAGAGTAGATCACGACCAACTGATCCATCAGAAGAGGCAGGAAATGGAAAAATGCCCAATGGATGATGAGAAGTTCAAGAGTGTTGATGTGTGGTGAACATTCCTTCAGAGCTCACATATTCAAAGTCATGTAGTTGTTCAGAGATGCCCCAACCAAAAGATAAGCATCTGGGAAGAGATGAAGATCTGGTCAGTGGCAACAAGGTGATGCCAACCATGGTGTTAGAATGATCGAGCAACCAAGACAAATCCTCAAGAAGAGGAGAAAGGAGACACAATATCGAGAACAATACAATGTATGCTGAGAAAGATTCCACTGTGCCTGCAATTTTTACTGAAAAGGCACATAGGCATGGCCAAAGTGAATGAGTGGTTCAAGGGAAACCAGAGTTCCCCAAAGCAAAAGAACCTCATGTGCAGAATGTAAAAGAGAAGCACAAGCCTTGGTGACAAGACATTCCTTTACTCATAAGAAAAGTAGTAAAGTCTGAGCTCAACTGAGATGAGAGTTGAAGAACATGTCAAGATGTGTGAGAAAAGAGTTTGGCAAAGTATCCAACCAGCCCAATCCATGAACAAGGCAGGCAAATGCCTCTATGATTCAATTAAAGATGTAAAGAGCAGATGCAATGCTAAAGGAAGAGCAAAGTATTGAAAGACCCAATCCCAATGGATGAAACAAAGAAAATATCTGGAGAGAATGGGCCAATCAGAATGTATACAAAGGTGTCTGAAACACTGATCTTGGCCATCCACAGCTTGAGTGAAAAGAACCACCTGAGAGAAAAGAAACCCTCCATAGAGAACTGAGGGATGATAATAAACCAGCTGAGAAATGACAATTCAATAACCAGATACCAGTTTCAAGTCTTCTTGGAGATCACAAAAAGATGAGAGGAATAACCAAGTGTAGGGGTAAACACTCTCTCGATGACATTCTTAGCTAAGATATCTGAGACCATATCCAGGAGACACTGAAGACAAAGTGGAATGGAGGGAGGAAGAAAGGAAAGGAAAAAGGGCAGGAGGTGAAAAGCAGTGGAGAGACAGGCTGTAGGTGAGAATCTGAATAACCCATCCATTGGACAGATATGGAGACCAATGGCTGGCAAAGAGAGACAGATGGGCTACCACAGGGACAGACCTGACAGGACAGTCACCTAAGAACAGGAACAGAATGGTGAAATTATGAAAGATAAGAAACCATAATAGACAATCAGGACTGGTGCTGGGCCACTTAGTCTGGGTCTCTAGTGAATCAGGAACACCCCTAAGGTCCTCTAGGTGAAGGAATAGAGACTGAGGAAGAACACACAGAGAAGTAGGAGGGAGGCATACATTTGCTAGGAAAGCATCCCATCCCAACAGCAGAGGAATCAAGAAGTAGTAGTATGGGCCAATGTAGTGAAAAGAAGAGAACAAACTTATTCATAAAACCTCCCCCAGAGCTTGATGAAGTGCCTCATACGTAAGGTGAAGTGACAAGAGGTAGTGCAGGAGGGTGGTAAGAAAGAGGTGAAGGCACGGAAGTTGGGCACTAACTAGGGAAATAGAAGGGATCAACCCCCTCAGGTAGGTAAAAGAAATTCTACAGACTGGAAATCAAGGAATAGAAATGGAAAACAGCTGTAAGCCAGGACAAAAGAGCCATGTAGATGACAAGAACAAGGCATGGTAGTATGGGTGTGCAGTTGTTCAAAAAACAAATCTGTGTGGATTCTAATGCCAGGTGAAAGAGGAAAGACAAAGTAGTCTTAAGTACAAGTTTCATGTAGTAAAGCATTGAGGGAGGGGTTCAATACACAAAGGAAGAGATTAGAAGGGTGAGGACTTTCCTACACAGATAAAGCTGTGCTTAGAGCAAACACTGGTAGGGGAAATAGCCAGTCAAATCATCATCATCCTGATCATGTTTAAACTGGGGATAAAGAATGCCAGCTGAATGGATGGGAGAAGGAGGTCCAGTGTGCATGAAGGAATTCACAATACATGAACAATGGCTGGCATGTCCTCCACAAGGAACGAGACCCCAATAACTACAATAGATACAGGTCTTGTATTAGGAAGATTGTCACTATCACGAGATGAAGTGGAAGTTACTTTCACTTGAGAATTCATTATGGGTAAGTACAAAAAAAATTGTCTTTTTAAATTTTTCTTGAGTAATAAAAGAAACCAGTGAAATTTAGGTGTGGCAAACTATTGCACATCTCACATAATTCATTAATAATCTAAAAAACAAGTCTTTTTCTAGACGATGCTGAGGAAAAGAATAAGGTTATTTTGAGTGCAAGTGCTTAGGGGGAGTTACAACACAATGAGGTAGTGTCGCCCTCCTGCTGGTGGAGGGCTATCATAGCATGATGATGTCATTATGCATTAGTGCAGTTCACATTAAACATAATTTTTAAATAGAAGTTAGCTCAAGGTTAGATGCATGTAAATCTCATAGGCAGATGCATGAGGGATCAAGCTATTCTGTGTGCAGTATTGTCTCGGAATATTAAAGTTTTTTGTTAAAAAGTACATAAAAATACCTTTCAATTAGTGTGAATGTTCCTTTCCATTTGGCAAGACTGTTTCTGAAAAAAGCAAAAAATACAGTACTGTTTTGAGCCAACAAAGAAATACTACCAATAAAATAGCACAACACTGGTTATAAAGTGTGACTTTAACTTATACGATCTTTAAGTATTTAAATACATTAGTAATATGTCAAAATGTTCTATATTCTTTTTGCTAAGCAATTATCTTGCATATTCTGGTTTTAATATCAAAAACAATTAACAAGCAGTGCTTGAACAGTGAAATATACACTGTATTTGTCTACTCTGAAACAACTTAAACCAGACAGGATATGAAACACAGAAGATTCAACAATAAGTTTCTTTTTACCACTGCTTTTTATCACTTTCTCTAAATAACTATTTTTTAAATTTACCACAATCCACACATGTACCTAATATACAAACAGAAAATTTAGATGACAGTGATATAAACATCCCTTGACTTCTTGGTCAGAGTTAAGAACAACTGAGAAAAAAAAAAGACAGAAACATGTATGTGTAAACATGTAGAATGAAAAAAAAAAGGGGGGATAAAATACAATGGCAAATACTTTCTATTAAGTTGTAATTTTGGTACTTACAGTTAAAACATTTAATATTAACATCAGTAAATAATCAGATTTTTTCTGTACTCTCAATCAAGGTTCCTAAAAATCTTCCCTAATTTTTCACCATGTCTCACTGGTTGAAAACAGCACCACAGAGTGCAGCTTCAGTGACAACACCCATTAGTCAGTACAGTTTCTTTTTTATATATTATTCTATTTCACCTTTTTATTTTTCATTTCTATGACCCACAAAATTCTTTCTGAATTTTCAAAATTTCATAATTATTCGTTCATCTTTTGGACGCTTGCAATAGATGAAGAATATTTACCCATGAAAATTAATGCTGTGGATCTTACTTCTAACTTCAGTTTGAGAACTGTTACATCAGACTTCTTTAAAAGAATATCAAAAAGCTACTAACTTTCACATCTTCAAAGAGAGTAAGAGTATACTTGTTTTCCTCTCAATCTAACAAACCAAACTATGAACAAGGACTTCAAAATTCAAGTCTCAAGGTTTGCAGTTTATATATCATTCAGATTCTTTCCCAACAGAAAGACTTCTCAGCCCTAATGAAGCTTTGTATACAAGAACAACATGAGTAAGGCTAGTTGAACCATACAGTATATAATATGAATTTATGGTATAAAATATTTCATTTTCCCAGATTCACAAGGTGTTTCCTATATCTATTATTTGCCAAAAAAACACACAAAGCTGAAATTATTTTTCTTTGTGGCAGATAACAAAGGGCAGATTTGAGCATGGTTCTATAGCACAGGAAGAATCTTAAGATAGCATAATAAAAGCACTGGTCTTATAAATAACAACACCAATTTAATAAGTTGATATATTTGTGACTTAGTTTACCACTCATATTAATAATTCTAAGACATAATATTCTATTTTATAATATTTACAGGATTGCTGTAGGGTGTACAGTGTAATTAGCAGAAATATGTCAGAGAAAATATATCTTCCATGTATATTTTATGCATGTTATGTGCTGGGAACATACGTGTTTAAAAGTATTCAAGAAACTCTCCAACAAAATACCTTAAAATTCATAATTATGTTTCATTAGCGTAACAGAGCGGAAATTTAATTTTGACCAGGACTTACAGCTGGTCAAAACTACCTTATAAATTAGTGAAGCATTCTCTATTTACTCGAAATTGAATGTACAATTTTCAAAATTACTTTAAGAAAAATTTGAATCCTGCAGTAAAGCAACACAAACCACAAAGTACACTAAGATCAGAAGGCATGATCTCTCACTGATCACTGAACCTTGTTTTTTCTACACAACTGTACAGCAGCTGAACTTGTGGTATATTAGTAATTAAGCAATTACATTAAGCATAATTTAACTGTAGTTATAAGTTAAATGCATTCAAACTTTCACACACTTTTTCTACAGACAGTAAATGCAAAAAATCTTATTTTTTTCTCATAGGTGAAAAATATTTTAACAATAAAATACACACAGACTAAATTACAAACAAAACTGATCATTCAAGGTTACTTAGTTACAGAAATTCAATCAAAATCATGCAAAAGAATACATGTGAAATAAGTATATACGACTTTCTCTGGTTGCCTGAAAGTTATACTTTTCTTATACTGAAAATGTATTTCTGATAGGTACTTACCTCCTTTCAAAACATTAGCTATTCTTATTAAGTGCTGCCCTCTATATGCAAACGTTTTCTTTACACATGCCACAAGCCTTGAGCACCACCTTTGTTGGAATTACTATATTCCAACATATCTCTCATGGAAATCATCATGTGTCACCTCTTAACCAATAGTAACATGACATGCTCACATGATGCATGTGACTCCTTTACGGAGCCTTCACCTCGAAGTTTGGCAGAAGGTGTGAGCACTGGAAAAGTGGGAAGGAAGGGTGGGAAGAATGAGCAGAGGTAAATACCTATTGGAAATATATTAGCTAGAATTCCACACTGAAAAGGAGGAGGGACCAGTGCGAGGGAATGAAAGAAGTATCCCCGAAAGCATCCAAAGGATACCCCTGACCTTGAGAGATATAGATCTAAAGACCAGAAGAGGAAACCATACTACTTCTGGGCTAGGTATACTCTTCACCCATGTGTAGATTGTGTAATGAACAAGGGTGGAAATTGTGAGGTGTAGAGTGGCTAGGGTATGGTGGACTACACAGTAAGTCTACTACATCCATAATTTCCTTGTGGGGTACCAACATCCACATGAGGGTAGGATGAGGATCATAGCATTTTCACCTCAAACCCAAGAATTAGGGATTTAAAACCACACCAATTTCTCGGTATGCCACAGGGATCATCACCCACCTATCAATATGGGAATAGACATCTGGTATCAAAAGGATGTCTATCACATGTAATCAACTCCCCTAACCGTGGCACAGCCCAGCACCATCCAAAAGCAATAAGGGGTGTTGCAAAATAAATCATACTTTTTTCCCTGAAGTAATAATGAACTTGGTAGGACTGCAAATACCATCACTCATGAGAAAACGTCATTTCAACACACTCTTGGATGTTTGACTCTTCGAATTAATTTTTTTGTGAAACTTTCGAATCATGGTGCTCACTAGAACTGAGGTTCATGTTGCATGTGCTGCTTTCAAAATGGCTCAGAAACTAGTCACAGACATACTCCGAGAATTCAAGTCTTCCAATCGAAACATTGCAATGCCAGATTTGAAAAATCCAATTAATGCCTCAAAAGTTTCAGAATTGTTGAATTTGAAAGAGTGGGCTGTGAAAATGTGGATTGGGAACTCTCCAGATTTAAATCCCGCCGAAAATGTCAGAGCTTTTGTTCAACAATGCACAGAAGAAATGTTGGAAACTTTGAGCTTTGAAGAGACACAAATGTGAAACCTTGATGTTCTCACTGATGTACTCACAAAGACAGCCACAAAAACAAACATGTTTGTTGCACTGCTGAAATCTTTTGCAAATCGATTAAAACTTGTGTGTGAGAACAATGGTAGCCCAATCAAGTGATATTGATACTTCGAATTACTTTTTTGATTGAAGTAAAATCTTATTTTACTTTGTTATGCTCTCAAGGAAAAAAGTGATTTATTTTGCAACACTCCTTAACATCCCCATAAGAAGAGAATGAGGGATATACAAGTATTGCACTAGAATAATCCCATGTACTAATGCTGTGACCAAAGACACAGATGGAGAAATTGCGGGAGGAAGATGGACAACCCGTACTCATGTGAGGACTTATGTTGATTGGTTCACTCCAATCCAAAACCTCTACACTGGGAACCAACTTCCACTTGAAGGTAGGATGAGGTCTCCCACTTGAAGGAGTGAACTGCAATTGTAACGGCTGAACTCCAGTGTTTGTGTAAAAGGAAGCGGAAGGCCATGTCATCCTGTAAGGTGAGAGCTCAACTCCTTTGGTTGTGTAAATAGTATTAGGAGGCCACATCAACCAGGAAGGCGAAAGCTCAACTCCAGTGATTGCGTAATAGGAATCAGGAGGCCACATCATCTGTGAAGGTGATGGTTTGGCTCCAGTGTCTGTGTAAATGTTAGTAGGAAGCCACGTCATCTGTGAAGGTGACAGCTCCACTCCAGTGGTTGTGTATTTGGTAGTAGGAGGCCACATCATCCAGTAAGGAGATGGCTCAACTCCAGTGTGGTTGTGTAAACATGATCAAGAGGCCACATCAACCACCCTACTTTCAACTGAATGGTTTGAATATTTTTACATATGGAACTCATTCAGGAGGGTACCTCCTTGGTCAACCATACCAGTGGCTTGGAACTGGAAGTGGTAAGGACTCCTATACTCCATTCAAAGAAAGGAGGGTGAAAATGTGGTGGAGAGCCCAGAGGAACATCATTACTAGAGACAGTGCAATAAGTGACCACGAAACCCTATTTTGAAAAGCGGAAAATACCTGGTTATTCACTCAAGGCATGGCAGGGATAGCCAGCAATCCCCTTCTGCTTTACCCATGTAGTTCATGGGTGGTATGGTTCAGAATAGGCATGTTTATGAAGCAACTTATCACGAGGTAATTAACCATCAAGCAATTTTAACGGTGAGCATGCAAACTGATGATAAGAGTGTGTGGATCAACATAGCTAACAGTGCAGATTTAGAGTTAAAGAATACCTGGTAAAGCACTACTCACCAAAGAGCAGGATCCATAAAATAAGAAATGAAGCAAGGGCCCCTGAAAGGAAAAGTATTAATATAAACTGATCCAATCAAAGTTGCACTGAATCACGAAAAATGGCTGCAGGTGAAAGATGTAAATCCAAAAGGAAGAAGAAACCGCTATATAGAGGAAATAAAGGGAGATGAATGTACATGGTGTAGTCCACATGCTCTACAGAAGAATTTCCTCAAACAGACGATGCAGATGATATGCCAGAGAAAAGGTAAGATGTGAAACAGAAGACTATCTAGATCATGCCAAAGATGAGGTG